TTGTGCCCAAATAATGTAGTGCAGTACCATCTTCCTAGGCTATCTGCATCTTATCAGCCCACCTTACCATTCCTCTTAAATTTTCCGTTACAATGAAATATGAATATGGGTGTGAGACACTTGTGGTTATAATGATAGTTAAAGATACGAAAATTTTGAGTAGGTTATTGATTATTGACTTGAAAAAAATATAATGAGATAGAAGTCAATAGTTGACAGAATTTTGCGTATCAGATATATTCATAGAATGAAATTTATGAAAGAAAATTATGTTGAAACCTCTTATAACTGTGGTTCCAAAATTGAAGGCGATGATGCTGAAGGGCATACGTATGCGATTAGAGTGTTTGTATATTTCTTCTTCTTTACCACCACACAAAGAAAACACGTATTGCCTGAGAGGACGGAATACTTGGTGTTTAACCATTGGATTAGGTAGTTGTTAACATTCTGCTAAAGTATTGTAGCAAGGCTCTACCTCACTAGCTTAAGCTTTGGAAGCACCAGTGCAGCTGATGTTATAGTTGAATGATCAAATATTTTGAAGATAGTACACTGGTTTGTTCGAATCCTGCTTTTTGCTTGTGGAATTATTCAAATTGCTAAATATCTACTTCAGGCTAGTTGGTCGTAACATAAACGTACAAATAATACAGGATGCTGGAATTAGTGGATTAAGCAGTAAAACACTCATGATTATGAAGATAATGCTTCAATGGATGAGGGGCAGAAATATGCTGAAGTTATTCTGTCAGAACATAGGCTTTAGCAAGAAACTTCTGCTGTCTACACTACCTGAAGAACCCCAAACCAAACAGTTAAACAGCTCCATGGAAACCATGGAACTGAAGCTGAAGACTGAACAGCCTTCAACAGAAAAGTGAGAATAAACAAAATAATTTGTTGACTTCAGAAATGGAAGACACAAGTCCAAGAATGTTTGGTGAGAATTTAATGAATTCTAGGAAAACTTGCATTAAATACCGTTTACGTGCTTTTCTTTTATATTGGAACTTTGGGAAGCATTTATCATTTAAACAATGTATTTGCTTGAACTTTCAATCTCTGCCAAGACTCCATTGCCTTTTCGAATCAAAGACGATGAAATTCGCTTGTCGGGAGTACAATTTACTTGCCATCAGGTCTGCTATGCTAATAGTTTGTGGGACTGCCTCTTCTTTCAGATAAAATAAATATTTCGTAGCATTGTTAATATCCAGGAAGTCATTAGACTACATTTTACCTGGGGCAAATCTCACTGAAATCTCTTGATTTACCGAGACTGCGGGATTTTAGAATATTCACCACAATATAACTCGTTGAATGTGAGCATGTAATATTCTGAAGTCATTACAGCGAATTCCTACATGCCCGATTGAAAGTATCGATTTTCATTTTCCAAAATGTCATTGAATTTTTTAAATATCAGTCGAGTGGTAGTGGCACATTATTAAAAACATGAAACACACGACATACGGATAAGCGTTAAATGGGACAAGTGGCTACAGTCCAAGACGAGTCATGAATGCGAGCCAAAAAGCTCATGAGATCCACTCGTCAACTTACAAATATGTTCGTAATTGATGAGTGGGAATTTTCAGTAAAACGTGTAAAATAATTTGACGAACCACGAGCTGGCTTGGCTCCTCCCGTCGTGCCAAGGGACAAGTGTGATGCAATTCAAGAGATCTTTAAAAACTAGCCAACTCAGACTTTGCCTACCCCATACGCAAGCACAAGCTGACTCGTGTAGTGGACCAAGTCAAACACAGCAATTGACGAGCTGAATGAGCAAAAATAAATAAATAAATAAATAAATATAGGGAGGAGTCCAAGATAATACAAGCAGAAAAACATTTTCTATCAAAGGAACACACAATCAAGAAAAAAAAAAATCTCCTCCCAAATACATTAACAACAGTTTATTTATGCAAACGTCAATCCGTCTAACAATAACAATAATAACAGAGTTAAAAAGGAAAAGCTGCAAAATAGAGTAAGGCATAGAATACAACTCTCCCCATGACGACCTCAAGAAGTTTGACAATTCACTTTTAAGTACCCAGCTACATTAGGTTGCCTATATATAAGCAAAGCAAGGAGGAAAAATAGGCATATCACAATTGGGAAAAGGCGAAATTCACAAATATCACACAACCAGGCTTCCACGATTCCACAATACACTGGTAACTTCTGTAACTGCTGGAAACCCTAGAAAAGCGGAATAACTGCAAAATAGAAATTTGACATTCATATGGATTTGTCAGAGTTGCAAAGAGATCATTCTTCTTCGTCATCTCCAAGCTTGTACTCGCTGAAATGATTGACCCTGAACTTCCATTCCCCTTTGACTGGATCATAGGACACAAACTCTGCACCTTGATCCTCGGCCTTTCTTCTAAGCATCTCTTTGTACTTCTCAATCCTGGGTCCTGATGTGTATTGCTGTCCAGTCTTTTTATCAAAGCATTTTATATTGAGGAGTGTTACCTCAGCAGGTTTGTTAAGACCTTGTCCAATTGGAGGTTTCTTGGTTTCATCCATATACACAATAACCTCTCGATTATTGAATTGAACAAGAGACTCAAGATCAAGCCCTCGCACATCTGTCTCCCCGAAGAACTTGATGCTACCAAAACCGTGTCTCCCAACCACAAAGTCCTTCACATGGCGACAAAACCCTGGCTCGGCTCTTTCCTTTGCAGCCAGCTCCTGAATTCGTGGCTCCGTGTAGTAGTCAGAGTGCCGGAGCTTTGGCATCAGTGCCTCTATGTCAGCACCATGCTCATAAACAATTGCTGCTTCACCAGCTCGGTGGCCAGTAAGAGTGATGTAAGAATCTCC